CCATATAATCGTAGTTAGCCAAGATATCCCCAAAATCTCGAAAACGTCCCGAGGGATTACCTAACTGTTATTAGGGAGGGGTATTACGACTATCAAGCTCAACTGCCCTGTGAATGGGGAATGGGGAAAAAAACATCTCTTTTTTTAACACCCTGTAGTATGTAGCTAAGTGCACAATATCGTATTCCCAAAATTAGACATAAGAGTCAAAGAATCAACTATTGCTCGTTTTTTGGACTAAAATGGAGAATAACGACAATTTTCAAAAAATTGCCATATAATCGTAGTTAGCCAAGATATCCACAAAATCTCGAAAACGCCCCGAGGGATTACCTAACTGTTACTAGGGAGGGGTATTACGACTATCAAGCACAACTGCCCTGTGAATGGGGATTTGGAATTTTGGAAAAAAACATCTCTTTTTTTAACACCCTGTAGTATAATGTCATGTACACAATATCGTATTCCCAAAATTAGACGTAAGTCAAAGAATCCACTATTGCTCATTTTTTTGACTAAACTGGGGAATAAGGACAATTTAAAAAAAATTGGCATATAATCGTAGTTAGCCAAGAGATCCACAAAATCTCGAAAACGTTCCGAGGGATTACCCAACTTATATCAGGGAGAGGTATTACGACTGTCAAAGTCAACTGCCCTATGAATGGGAATAACTTGAAATTTCGAAAAAAATTCATCTCTTCGTTTAACACCCTGTAGTATAATGCTATGTGCAAAATATCGTATTCCGAAAATTAGACATAAGAGTCAAAGAATCAGCTATTTAGAATTTTCAAAGATTTTCAAAATCGATTCAGTAATTTTCCAATAACGAGCTTTCAAATATTTTCCAAAAAACTAGGTGCGTCGTTTTTTATGACGAGCAGTTTATATATATATATATATTTTCTTACAGTAGACACGCGATACGAATGCTCATCAAGATCCCGCGATTGCAGTGTAAAAATGCGTTTAAATTGCTGAATTTTTCGCAAAACTATGTATAACAAGTGAAAGTTTAGTGTGATAATTTAATATAAACAATTTTATAGATGTGAGTGCCAAAAACTAAAAATTTTAACTTTAAAATCTACATTTAATGTGTTATTGAACAAGGTTACTCAAGCAAAAAACAATTATAAGACAAAAAATAATATTTAACTGACAATCAAAAATAAAAATTATTTGTCGCCGCCCTGGGATTGAACTCAGGTCGCCTGAATCGTTGTCAGAGTCAAATCAAATCAAATCAAATCAAAGAAATTTATTTACATGTAAATATCACAGTTGGTATATAAGAGACAATTTCACAAAGTAGCTAAGGTTTTACAGCATGCTAATAAATATATCACAAAATAACATAAATACAATGCTGTAATGGCTGCACCCAGTCGCGACGTCCTGGACTGCTGACGTTGGTTGTCACCTTTGTTCGTTGCTCTTATTTTCATTTATTCCGGAGTTCGGCCATTCCAGTCGCTGAGCGATTAAGGGGCGTGTTGGGTACGTGACCTGAGTCGATATTTAATGGTTGGATTGCTAAATTATAGGTGTAAAGTTTTAAAATTGTTGCCCGGGAAAAATACGTAAAAAACCCGGTTAGGAAATTTGGAAGACATTTTTAGTCACCACACCTTTGGGAGATAAAGGTGTACTGTTAGCTAAATAAAGGTGCAGCGACCAATCGGTCGCCCCACCTTTATGTTCATAAAGGTGTGCCGCTAGAGCGGAAATAAAGGTGCAGCGACAGGAGTAGTCGCTACACCTTTATCTTTCTTAAAGGTATGGCGACGGCACAAATAAAGGTGCAGCGACCGATGTCGGTCGCTGCACCCTCATTTCGAAGATAAAGGTGTGCCGTCAGCCGATATAAAGGTGTAGTGGCGGACACCGTTTTTCGTGGTTCCGTGTTTAATGTTAAGCCGTTAGGCTATTTAGGGGTGTTTTATTGTTAAATGAATTTTCAGTAGAAGCGGAAAAGTTTTTTGCCTTTTCGCGTTCTACCTACTGAGGAACCCGACGTGAATGATTGTTGCATTGGCGCCGGTTAGTGTTAAAATGCTGCTAAGAATTACGGTCACCACGTTAGGACGCGGCAGCCGATTTTTCGCGCTAGTATATATCATCGAGCCTTGCTCGAGTGAAATATAGGTGTGGCGACTAAAAATTTCTCCTTTGCATAAAAATTGGCAGGGTGCCGTAAATTAGACGGTGCTTATACAACACATTATCCATGTGCCTCAACGTCGTAATGTCTCGTGTAAGTGGGTTTTTGTCCATTTTAAACGTATAAAAATTATTTGCGAGCCTGTTAATGTGGTCATGAATGCGCTCTAGTCCCGTTAATTCATGCAAAATGTCCTCCGTTTCATAGCGCCCGCTGTTCGTAACATGCCGAAGGGCTTTATTTTGCAAACGCTACAAAGTTAGAATTTGCGTTTTTGATGCCGAACACCATGCTGGGCAGCCATATGTTATGACTGGCCTGATGCAAGTTTTATAGAGTATTAACTTGTTTTCGGCTGAAAGGGGACTAGATTTACTTATGAGCGGATATAGTGCTTTAAGGGCGGTGTAAAATTTACCTTTGATAGTTTTAATATGCGGCACAAAAGTTAAACGACTATCGAAGGTGATACCCAAGTATTTGGCAGACGGCGTTGGCAAAATGGGGACGTTGTCAAGACTTAAAGGTGTAAATATTCTGTTATTAGTGAATTTTACAGAGAAATTCACCAGCTCTGTTTTACTGTGGTTTATACGTATCTTCCACTCTTCGAAATACTTCAACAGTGTGTTAAAGTAAATCTTTATTTGGTTTGTGGCCACCTGTGAGTGGAAAGATGACGCATAAACCGCAGTGTCGTCAGCGAAAAGGCCAATTTTAACATGTGTAGCACGAGGTATATCCGATGTGTATAGCGTATAAAGCTTTGGGGCCAGAACCGTGCCCTGAGGGACGCCGGCTCTAGTTCCATACACAGTGGATTTTACTCTGTTAACGCTCAATTGGAACGTTCTGTCCGATAGAAATGACGAGACGAGCTTTGTGACTTGGTTCGGTACGTTGAATTTAACCAGTTTGGCTGTCATGCCGTCCAGCCAGACGGTATCGAATGCCTTTTCAACGTCAAGCAGGGCCATAACTGTGTTTCTACCACCGTTATAGGCCTGCTTGATATCGTGGGCAATTCGCACCGCTTGATGGACGGTACTTAGGCCGGCCCGGAACCCGAACTGCTCTTGAGGTGTTAAGCGGAGTTCTTTATCCACTGTGTTTAGAACTTTTAGTATCGCCCGTTCAGCAACCTTTGACAGGTTGCTTACTAGGGAGATAGGTCTATAGTTGGACGGTATAGAATGGTCCTTGCCAGCTTTAGGAATTGGGACAACTACCGCGTGCTTCCATGCTTTAGGGAAATACGCTCTTATAATACAAGCGTTAACTATGTACATGAGTTGTACTATAGCCTTCTGCGGGAGGTTCTTAATAAGAATGTTTTCAACGCCGTCTGCGCCAGGGGCTTTGTTGTTCGCTAGCCGTTTAATTATGCGCTTTATGTTGTTTGGTGATGTTAGGTACCGGTGGTCTGAGTCGTTATATAAGTGGGCATTTTGACGGAATGTTTGCGCTACATTAACAACGTCGTTTTGAGCTGGGGTAAGATTGTTAAGGTCCGTGTTTGTAATATTGTAGAAACAGCCAGCAACAGCCTCTGCTTTATCTACATTTGTTACGTGATGCACGCCTGCGGTGATAATTGTTGGGAATACCTGACATCGTGGTTTTATTTTACGTGCCATTTTCCAGAGGCTGTTGTCGGCTGGTCGCAGGTTACTTACAGTGTCGCTCCAAACACGGTCCCGATACTCCTGTAGCTCATGTTTGATTTGAGTTCTAAGCGTATTGTACCTATCTTTATACTCATCTATGCGATAAGTATCGTATAGGCGCTTGAAATGATTCTTGTAGCGTATTTTATTGGTAATGTCTACAGGAATATCGTCCACGCGGCGTTTTACTTTAGTAATTTTGGTAGTCTTGTCGCGCGCTATTATTATTATTTTAGTGAGTTCAGCAACCGCTAAGTCGATTTTACTGTCTGAATCGATGTTATTGTTCATAATCAATTTATCGTTGATTATTTCGCGATATTTGCGCCAGTCCGTGTTGGCGTAATTAAAGATTGGCCTAGGCGGCGGTGGAGGGTCAATCTTCGTTTGGATTTTGAATAGGACCGGAACGTGGTCTGAATCCAGCTCATGTATTGTCTTGGGGTCGTCGATTAAGTTAATGTCTTTTATGATTGCGAAGTCTAGTGTAGATGGAGTTTGTCCATTTGTCGGAAAGTGTGTTGACTCACTCGGGTATGCGAGCAGGCAGTCGCTGTTAGCGATATAATCATTGACCGTCCTTCCGTTTTCGTTAGTCCTATTGCATTGCCAGACCGGGCTGGTAGCATTTAGGTCGCCAACTAGGAGGCACTTATTTGAAGAAAGTAGTATATCTAGGTCGAGTTGCGTAAAATGTACGGTTGGTGAATTATATGCTGCTGTTATTGTAATGTTATTTATTTTAATGATTAAATGTTCAATGTTGGAATTTTTATTGGCTAGCTTAGTGTGTGGAATATCGTTATGGACAAGTATGGCTACGCCTCCGCTACGGCGAGCACCCGGTCTGTCAGAGTCGTTGCCGCTGAGCTATTGCTATTTTTATAAATTATACGATTATTAAGAAACAAATATAATGGGTAACAGTGAGATCTCCAATAGTGATATCTTTAAATTATTACAAAACGTACAAAACCAAAATAAGTCGTTGAAAGAAGATTTAATTAATGAAATAAGGTCTATTAAATCAGATATATCCAAAGAAATTGAAAATATTAAAACAGAAAACGCAAATTTAAAATCCGAAAATTTAATATTAAAAAAGAGACTACTTACAACAGAGCGAACACTGAAAAAGTACAACCTTTTTATTTATGGTGTTAAAGAAGAGGAACGCAAACCCGACGAGGATATTATTCTAAGCCTAGTAAATAATAAATTAGATATAAAGTGCGTGAGTGAAGAATTTAGAGATATTTATCGTGTTGGGAAAAAGGTCACTGAAAAAAGTCGTCCTATTGCAATTGAACTAACGCATTACAAATTAAAGCTTAATATTCTCAAGGCTGCAAATAAACTAAAAGACACCAAAATCTTTGTCTCACAAGATTATACCCAGGAGGACTATCAAAAAAACAAACTTCTCTACAAATATAAAAAACGAGCTTTGGCTGAAAATAGTGAGGCATACATAAAAAATAATAATCTTTTTATTAATGGTGAGATAGTTACTTATGAACAACTTTTGGAAAAAGAGAATTTAAGTGAAGAGTTGGAAGAAAGTGAAGCAGAAGAAGTTGAGGTCTCAGCTGGGAATTCCAAAATAGTAAATAACAAAAATAGTAAACGGAAAGAAAACCCCTCAATCGAAGAAGAAACCGACAACAAAAGTAAAAAACCAAATAGGGGAAGGCCTGCTGCAAAAAAATAAAACCTATTTTTTAAATTTTTTTTTGTTTCTCAAAATTTTTGATTTATTGTTTAAATCTTAATACAAATTTAGCCTTCGTACTTTTTTTTTACTCTGTTTAATTATTTCTTTAAGTTGATATAGGTATAACAATTTTTTGTAAAATGAATTATATCAAATGCGCCCATTTAAATGTGAGGTCCTTGCTGCCCCATTTTGAAGACGTAAAAAATATTAGTTCTGCGAATAATTGTGATGTATTTTGCCTAACTGAAACTTGGTTAAGTAGAGACATTGCAAATTCCTTGATTAATATAAATGATTTTACTGTGATAAGAGCCGATAGGGCAACAAGAGGGGGTGGAGTAGCAATTTATGTTAGAAATTCATTAAAGTTCACAAAAATTTCCTTAAAATCAAATAATACTGAAGAACTGTGGATAAAACTAGCTAATTCTTCTGATAAATTAGCTATCGGCGTTATTTATAGACCTCCAAGAACTATTTGACAGTATAGGCCTAAATCAGCTAGTTAAATTGCCTACTAGAATATCAAATAAATCTTCTACTCTTATTGACTATATATTGTGCTCGAATAAAACAATAATTTCAAATATCGAAATACAGTCAGTTCATGGTTTTACCGATTATGAATTATGTCAATTCAATGTCAACACTAAATCAAAGAAACAGCAACCTAGATTTGTCACCAAAAGAAGTTTTAAAAACCTCAACCTTGTTCAATTTGATTATGATCTTAAAGCTATTCCTTGGAGAAACATATTTGACATTGAAGATATTAATCGTAAGGTACAATTTGTTACTGAAAATATAACTGCTCTTTTAGATATACACGCACCAATTAAAACTTTTCGAGTGAGTAAGCCTTATGCTCCCTGGTTAACTCCTACAATAAAGTCCATGATGGATGATAGAGATAAGGCATTATCCAGTTTCAAAACCCATAAAACAAAGAATCTCTGGGAATCATATAAAGGGCTACGTAACATGGTTTCGTCTGCTATAAAAAAAGAAAAAAAGGCATACTTTAACTTAATTTTTGCTAAACCAGATAAAAAACTATTTTGGAACAATCTAAAACAATTAAATATTTCTAAAAAGCCAATTATCAGTTTGCCCTTAAGTCTTTCGCATGTGGATCAAATAAACAATCATTTTATAAATTCTATACCGAAACTGAGTCCAGATCCAGATATTCTTAACTTTTATAATAATACAAAAATTAGCAATTCTACTTTCAGTTTTAAAATGGTCAATGAAATTGATGTCCTTATAATTATCTCCAATATTAAAAGCAAAGCTCATGGGTTTGATGGTATAAATATCTTTACTTTAAATTTATGTCTCCCATTTTTACTACCATATATTACTCATATTATTAATTATTGTATCACTCACTCAGTTTTTATGATTGGAAAAAAGCATTAATAGTGCCTCTTCCAAAAACTTCAAGTCTAAATAACCTACGACCAGTAAGCCTGTTGTCTACATTTTCAAAAATACTGGAAACGGTTCTAGAAAAGCAATTAAAGAAATATCTGTTATCTTTTGACATTATACCTCCAAACCAGTCAGGATTTCGTTCTTCTCATAGTTGTAGCACTGCTTTACTAAGTATTACTGATGAAATATTGAAGGCGTCAAAAAATTAACATGTCTTGTCCTGCTCGATTATACAAAAGCATTTGATACTATAAACCATGAGTTACTCATATCAATTCTTAAGTATGTCGGACTTTTAGAAGGTGCATTAGAATTAATAAAGATGTTTTTGTGTAATAGAACTCAGGCGGTGCAATATAATGGTCAAATTTTCTTGAGATTGAATGTGGTGTCCCTCAAGGTTCTATTTTAGGACCATTATTATTTTCTGTATATATTGGTAATTTTAATTCAATATTAACCTCGTGTTCTTCACACTATTATGCTGACGATACACAATTGTATTTAAGTACTCAGGCTATAACTGCAATAAACTATGATTTAAGGGAACTTTTAAAATATTCCACTCAACATTGTTTGCTCTTAAATGCCTCTAAATCAGCGGTAATCATATTTGGTAAAAGTAACCTTCGAACAGCATTTAAAATTGGCCGTTGCTAGTCGTCCGTATATTCGGACGATTAATATATTTTATTCATCCGATGATCGGACGATTAGACAAGTCGAAAGGCCGTTGCTAGTCGTCCGTATAATCGGACGAATAAAATATATTAATCGTCCGGTAATAACATACATAAATAATAAAAAGATTATCGGACTCAAACTCAACAACACAACCCAACCGACCCCGCCCCATTGGCCCCCCCCCCCCGCTCCATTGAACAAAAAACCCAACTAAAATGGGCAAATTTATGTTACGATAAAAATAAAACACTTTTTAACAAAGCAACAACAAATTTATGAAATAAAAAAAGTTCGACAACTTCTAGTAGATTTTATGTTACGATAAAACTAAAACAAACCAACCAACCCAACCCAACCGAACACTGTTTAACAAAGAAACAACAAATTTATGAAATAAAAAAATAAAAAAAAATCGACAGCTTCTTAGTATCGAACCCGGGACCTCTCGCATGACAAGCGAACGCCCTACCATATAAGCTATCTAGCTTGTTGTCAAATATTAAACGGTCGGTGAACAAAAGCGAATTATAATTATGACGTAACTAACGTTATGTTATTACCGGATGAATAAAATATATTAGTCGTCCGTATGTTCGGACGATTAATATATTTTATTCATCCGATGATCGGACGATTAGACAAGTCGTTTAAAATTAATCACGAGCACGATATTTTATTAAACAATGAACCCCTTAAAATTCAAAATTGTGTAAAAAATTTGGGACTTTTAATGGATGAGGATCTGCGTTTTTCGGAGCATGTTGGAAGTCGCTTAAAAGCGGCGTACTGTAACTTAAAGCAAATTTACCATGTAAGACATTTATTAAATTTAAAATCCAAGTCAATGTTATGTAATAGTTTGGTTTTATCCTTATTAAATTATTGTGATACTGTCTATGGTCCATGTCTTACAAAATACAATGCTTTCCGAATCCAAAAGTTGCAAAATTGCTGCCTTCGATTAATATTTGGCATAAGGAATGTCTATTTCGGTTTATTTTTAAGTTATTGTAAACTTGGTATTTCTACTTAGCATAATTCTTTTTTTTTGTTATACATAGCTATTATTTTAATAATATTGTAGCCGGTATAGCTGGCATTTTTTGGTTGAATGTAAGAATGAATTTTTACATTTTTAATGTTTAAATTCAAATTCCGCCATTTGGAATAATGTATTTCCTTATTTCAATAAAGACGTTTATTATTATTATTATTATTATTATATATATATATATATATATAAATGTATATGTATATATATATATATATATATATATATATATATACCTATTATTTATGAAGTTTGATAAACGCCATTTCAGTCACAATCACAAATTTTAATTAGGCACGACCGAGCTTGTGAGCGAGTTGTTTAATAAAATTAGTGTCTGGAAAAGTTTATAAAGAAGATGACTTCTATACTTCCAAAAAATATTATTTAATTATATATTAATAATTTAAATTAAATATTTGGATACAGTATCCAAGCTAATAATAGAACATCTGTTTTACCGGCTGTAGAAATCAAAATGTATTCCTTGAAAATGGACTAAGAACCGTTTTAATCCGATAAAGAAGCAGTGAAAGTGAAAGTTATTTACTGCAGGCGAAATAAAAAGGTCAGTACAAACGTGCATATCAGCTTTTCAAAGATTGGCGTCAAGAAACTATTTAATAATTGTTTGTATTTGGTATTGAAATAATGACACAATTTCTACATTTAGTATTACAGAAGGTCTTTATTTTTTTCATTGTATGACATTTGACAACTTTCAACTGTCATGGAAACATGTACGATAATGGGCGTTTTAAAGGTATGATTTGAGTCAATTGACCAGTCAAAATATATTTAATTTTTGCAGCATTTTATTTAGGTATCAACAATTACCCGTGAATCTCAAAATTTTTGCGATCGTGCAATATCGACATCATTTACAATTTGGTGGTTCCCCGAGTCGAGGGGTTGCTAGGCCGGACTCGGCACTTTGCCCTTAAAGCGGGACATATCTTTTTTAATAGCGAAACATAACTTTTTAAAGCCGCACAAACGTTTCTAAAGATGGACATAACTTTTATAATAAAAAAAATTGGTAACGTATTTTAATTACCTATTTATTAAGCACAAATAAATCACAGTAATATTTATTTTGATATTTTATTTAATTTTATTTTGGTCAATTGACCAAAAACAATTTGACCGGTCAATTCCACAACCCTAGGTATGAGTATGAGTATAAGAGACGTATAACCGGCTCCATTGCCTCATCGCTCCCGGGCCCCGCATAGGCCTCTGTTTCCTTGCGCTGATTTTCTTTCGCCACCAGCAACGTCGCGGCTTCACCCGTGTTTCTGGTTGCGAATGTCCATTGCGTCCCGTAGTGTCCCCTAATTAGGGCTCGAGAGCGAAATCCCAATAGTTTTAAGTAGCCATTCCCGGGTTCGCCGAGCGGAGGGAGGGATAGACAGTTTGGTGTTTGGGGGACAAAAACGCTGACTCAAATTTAAGTACGACGCGGGATCACCCTAGACCGGAAAGTTAGTATTATTCCAAACATTTGGGATTACTGTTTGGAGTTGGGGAGTTGTTAGTTCGCTGCAGGGGCCTAGTTTACTGGTCGTGGTCAACGTCTTGATCGTTATTGTCTCTGTCCGTGTCGGGTTGTTCCTGCACTTGTTATTGTCTTGTCTTAGCTGTTTTCTTTGGCGTTGCAATTCTATCTTTGTATTAAACAGTTGGTGTGCAATTGATACGATTTGACAGTTACCGGTGGGAGGTATTTTTGACTTCCACTGTATACTAATGTAATTACCAATTCCATTAGAATTTGGTTTGTGTGTTTATATTATGTGATTATGTTTTTTTAATTTAATGT